GGTTTCGTTAAAGGAAATACTTAAACCAAAGGAAGACTTTGAAGACAATGGCAGGAGCCTCTCTCATGGCTGTAACTGTGCACCGGAGGCTCGTTTGCTCATTTGAACACGATGCAGAGAGCACAGGTTAGAGGCAGCTTCCCCACCTGTTCAAGCCGGTCCCTTTGCTTACTTACATGAGCTTTGGTTTCTTTAACTTTAAAGAGATGAAACCACATGTGGTTCTCGGGGGACAACCCTGGTTTGCAGCTGCTCGCCTGTGTAATTATTAATAGCTCGGCTCTTGCTCTCAAAGGTATTGGGGTTTTGATGTAGATGATATCTCGTTGTGCTCTACCCTCCACCCCCAAGAGTGTTATACGAGTGAGTGTCTGTAAAGTCCTGTGTGTATCACCCCGAAAGACATACTGTGTGTTTGGATAATGATGATTACTTGTATTGAACTTTCCAAGCCAGACATCAAAGAAAATGGCACAATAGACAATGTCTGTTTTATGAAAATTTGGCCACCTTCCCAATCATCTTGTCTCTTCTTCTGCCCACATGGAATTTTCTGCCTGAAGCAATGGATTTGAGTGCTTTTGGCAGCTACAAAAAAAAAAAAAAAAAAAAAAAAAAAAAAAAAAAAAAAAAATCTGATTATCCTGGCTTCACAGGTCATCTGTATGTACGACTCCTCCAGGAGTCCGAAGTTTCTAACTTTGTAATCCTAGCAGCCAGCACACTTTAAAACATCTCCAGAATTTGTCCCCACATTGTCTCCCATTTTCCTTAAGAATCCCACGAAATGGGTGTTTTAATACTTGTGACTATTGTTTTAACGGTGTGGAATCTGAATCTCGGAAACAAGTTAATACATTCACATAATCACATAATTAGAAGTCATCAGGGAGAAGATGGGTCCAGGGCTTCTCAGATTCAAGTACTTTTTATTGTACCATGTTCCTTATTTAAAAGGGTGTCATTGCTCCACCTGCCCCCGTTTCTTCACATTTGCCATGCCCCCTTGTGGCATCTCCCTTTCCATCTTTGGTTTATCTGACATTCCTAAGTAAGGATTCTGGTAGCTTTGGGGAGAGGAGTGCCATGTTGTGACCCCTGGAAAGGGAGGGGTGGAGGTGGGTAATGAACAAAGTCAGGAGGAGGAAACCAGTTACTGGGCTGGTGTAGGAATCACTGCTTTACAAGAATTGCTACTCATCTTCCTTTAGTAAGGAGAAAAGGGTTACTAATGTCTTGTAGACTGGAGGTTTCGGCCCATGAATGGCTGGCCTCCTTGTCTGTGGGGCCTTTGGAAAGGCAGCATTTCATACAGAAATGAGGAATCAGGCAAAACCATCCATCTGTGTCCAAAAGACAAATAGGCCAGCAAAGAAAGGAGCCAGGGTTCCATTCTTCCCTTTGAGGGCATCTGCACCATGACCCAAGATCCTCTCACTTAGTCCCATCTTCTTATAGTCCCAACACTGTTTGGTAGGATGATGCTGGGAAGCAGGCCTCTAATATATGGGGTGGGTACCATAACAGAACCCATGTAGAACTCATAGGAAAGACTGCCACTGGGTTTTCCTGGTCTCTAAATCTGTGTTTATAAACAGATTAGGCGTTTGAGTTGGATCATTCTGAAAGTCACCCATCCCAACCTTTTCTTCAGTAGATGATGGTACCGTGAAATGGCCACATTTGCATATTGATTTAGTGTTCCGCTTGCCTGGGAAATTTGCTGGCCAGAGAAGAGGGAGCTTTTGGAGCTTGGTAAAATAGAACTGCTTTGTGAGTGAGTTGTCACACTGTTGCCAGCCCCAGGGATCCTCCCGAGGTAACCAAAACTGCAGGGAAGTTCTGCCTCATCGTGAAAGCTGTGGACACCAGGACCACCCATAAAAGTAGGTTAGTGAACCTGCTGAGCCACCTCAAAGTGCTGAGGACACAAAAGTGCTTCATGTTGCTGCTCCTTGGTGATGTCACCTGGCAAAGGAGCTCATCTGTCTTCCACCAGCACAGACCTTCAATGCCCCTCCTTTCACAGCTTTTTGGCCAGCAGTTGCTTCTTTCTACCTTCCAAATTTATGGCTCCTGTTCTGCAGGAGTAACCTTCTAACTCACTTGATTAAGATTCAGCATCAGACACTGTTATACAAACTGCCATGGAATTATCAAATAAAATCAATTTTAATATGTGTTTGTGTGGGTCTGCAGTTAGAGAAATGTGTTAAAAGTCAGTCTTAACAAGAGTGTCAAAACTGCAAAAAGACTGGAACTAATGAGTTTACATCCATGGGCTCAGCTTCTGATGTCTCAGATATCCATTTGATAATCTTAATAGTCTATTTATTTTATTTTTGCACAAGTGTGAGCAAGCACATGCCACAATGTGGCATGTGGAGGTCTGAGGACAGCTTGCAAGACTTAGTTCTCCCCTGTCATATGAGTTCCAGGGATTGAACTTGGCAATGACAAGTACCTTTGCCCACTAAGTCATCTTTCTGTGAATTTTGTCTGGATCTGTGTGTGATCTGATCATCAGAACGTTGTTTAAGTTGGTGCCATACTAAGTTGTCAGTGACACGTGCTCAGCTTGTACATTGAGTGTACTTATCTAGTTACAAATATTAATCCACATTTTCCCTAGATTGAAATGAAACTAGATGGTCTTGCTGTGTTTTGCAAGTTAGCAACAATAAAAATATATATTGAGATATTTAATTATACATGTGTGTACACACAGACACATATTTTTTTTTGAGACACGGTTTCTTTGTGTAACCCTAGCTGTCCTGGAACTCCCTCTGTAGACCAGGCTAGTTTCAAAATCAGAGATCCGACTGCCTCTGCCTCCCAAAGGCATGTGCCACCACTGTCTTGCTATGATCTATATTTTTAGCTCTATGGTGTTTTGATTATTGTAATTCTTCTTGCAACAAAAGAAAAATTCATACTTGTCAATTCATGGGTTTTGCTTTTCTAAAGTTCTTTCTATATCTGCCATGCTTACTGCCTTCGAATTTAACAGTCATGATGCATGCATATTTATTAAGACCCAACAGTACCTCCCAGTGCAGAAGGTGGGCAGTGGAACCCTTCCCAGCAAAGGAAAGTTGAGAGTTTCAGAGGAGGCTGGAACTTCATAGTGTTCAGCTTTGTCCCTAGGCTATTTTTCAGATTTTCGTCCTTCAAGTAGTAGAAGGGATGGGTATTTTTCAGCCAGTTTGTTTTCAAGTACTAAGCAGGGTGGCAGTGGCCTTGTGTCTGAGGTGACATGATGTGTTCATCTAAATATTCCTTATCAATAAAAAAATTGGGAGTCAAATATTGGGGGTAAGAACCTGAATGATCAGAGAAGCAGTAGAGAAGTGACCAGTAACCTCCTATGTCTTCCATTCCTCCATCCAGAAGGGTTGAGATTCTCTCTAAGCCCCGCCCTACTAATTCCTGTCTATCTGTTCTCAGTCCTCCAAAACCTCTGTGGTTAATTTTGGTCATCTACTGACTAGGACCACCCTCTGATTCAAAGCAAGCTTTATTGTCAGAATGTGATCAAAATATCACACAATAGTGACGGACTGATGTCTTTTTGTATTTCTATTTCTTCCTTGTGTCCCCTTAGAGCTGTTACTTACATCCTAGAAGGATGCCAATGAAAGCTAGATAAATCTTCAGAAATGTGAACAAGTCCAGAGAGAGAGAGAGAGAAAGAGAGAGAGAGAGAGAGAGAGAGAGAGAGAGAGAGAGAGAGAATGCACTGACAGTATGAGACCCTTTATCAAATAACATAAAACAAAGCTGGATAGCAGTTACCTTTCTTTGTGAGGGGCTAGACCAAGATAGGTTGAGTTGATCTGGGAGCTGCTTACACAGGTGTCTACTTTGGGGAGGTTCACAACCCTTTCTTCTTCAGTACAATTCTTCTTTTATTTTTATTTTTATTTTTGTTTTTCAAGACAGGGTTTCTCTATGTAGCTTTGGAGCCTGTCCTGGAACTCCCTCTGTAGACCAGACTGGCCTCAAACTCACATAAATCCCCCTGCCTCTGCCTCCTGAGTGCTGGGATTAAAGGCATGCACCACTAACACCCAGCTCAGTAGAACTCTTCTTAAACACCTTATGTGCATAGTGGTGTTTCAGTTTAAATTCTATAAACTTTAGACCTTTTACATTTATTGTATATCTTAAATGGCTATTTCCTTACATAAGCCAGCTACTCTTTTGTTGTTGTTTTGTTTGTTTTTGCTTTTGTTTTGAGCATGGTGCATTTATTTTGAGGTCTTGGGTCATCTTAATTACAGAACTGGCTGCCCAGGGGCTCTGGTGAAGTCTTGTTTAAAATGCTTGCCAATATAGCTTTCTCAGCTTACACTTCTTCAAGTGTTGTAGGAAAGGGCATTGAAGAAGGGCTCTTTGGTGAAAACGCTAATCTGTGTCACAGAAGACACAGCTAAAATGTTGTGATGGAATTCTGATAGGGCTCAGAGCACAGCTTTAGTCAGCTCTTGTAATGTAACAATTTCACACTGATTTTTTTTTTTTATCCATACAGATGGCTTCAGACGTGCACAAATAGTTGAACAATGGCTCCATCATTTTGAAATGTTCCTTGAGGTCACAGCCTAAAGGAAATAAGTTTGAAGCTAGAAATTACTTTGAGCAAAACTGAATTTTAATACAAAGAGAAAGTGGTGGCTTTATCGACGACATTTCTCCGGGCTTCTAACGTTAGACTAAATCCATAGGTTTTCTAACCACAGCAGAGTTAAGCAAAACAGGAAGGATATAAAGAAATTCTGTGGGTCAGCAAAACTTTCTGCTACCCTGACATTCTCCAGACCAAGGGCAAGGAGAATCGTATACATGGAAGGTCACATGCAAGAGGAGATCATGTCTCTGTTCTTAGAAGGGGGGCCATTCTTGAACATGCTTTAAGTTAGTCTAATTTTTTAAATAACTACTTGTAACTATTCCTGCTAATTACTTACACCCATTTTCTCTCTTTCTCTCTTCAGTGTTCTATCTCTTCATCCGAAGAAGAAAGATTTATCAGCATCAGGAGACCTAAAACACCAACCTCAGCTGACTTCTCAGACCTTCACACTCAGACGAACTGGACCAGGTCCCTGCCGCTGCCAACACCAGAAGAGAAGACTCGGCAGCAAGCCCAGACGGTCCAGGCTGATGTGGTTCCTATTAACATAACTGGTATGCTTGAGGGGCCGACAGGGTCACGGTGTCTTTGGGAGAGTGTCTGTGGCTTTGCTTGCTATATGCTGTTAGCATTTTCTTTATGCATCCAAGTGAAGAGCTATGAGCTGGCCTCCTGCTCTTGTTTGATGAAGGAAAGACTAGAACTACACGTGTGTGCATGAAAAACACCCTGTTGTTTGTTAGATAAGGGAGAACTCGATGGTTCAGCCATTCATTCGTGAGATGGCTTTTGAATTGCACTGTTCTTAACTAAGAATTTGGTTCTGTAGGAATATCCTGTAAATGTGCTCCTCAGCAGCAAAAATTGTACACTCACATAAGAAATATTTCTAGAAATGGAAAGAAATATTTCATTCTGTGTATACTGGGTATTTTCTTAGCCTTTGTTTGTTCAAATGGAAAAGGAGTACTTGAGATAAAGGCATCAAGTAATTAGTGACCAAAGCATATCTTTAAAAAAAAAAAAATCTTAGTAGAATGGTAAAAGTATGCCTTGGTTTCTATAAATTGAGTCTCAGTCCTCAAATAAAGATCCATTTCTGCCAAGGAAGTGACTTTGGCACATTGACAGCACTGTGGCTATTAATTGCCAAGTTGAGTGGTTGACCCTTTTGATGGTTAAGGCAACAAGTAAGAAAACACAGAGAGCTCCAAGCTGAGCCTCACAAATTTAGAAGAGCTGTTAAAAAGAATCCACATTTGCCATCTTTATCTCTTCTGTAGTCTTCCAAGAGAGTTGGTAAGTGGTGTGGGAAGGGCACGAAATACAAAGTGGTAAAAAAGGTCATAGTAGTTAGACTAGGTCTTGGGTGTAGTCCTCAGTGTGTGTGTGTGTGTGTGTGTGTATACACACACACACACACACACACACACACACACACGTTAGTAGCATCAACTAACTATGATGGTGTATTACATAGAAATAAGTAATTAGTGTCATATACACAAAATCTACACAAAGTCTGGTCTCTATACTCTTAAATCTGGCTGACCAAGAGGAAGAAGTTTTCATTAACTATTAGGATGGAAGCCCATAGCATCCTTCTATCTTTTGAGGCTATTGCTGCTGGAAGGCTTGTTACTATGGTACCAGTAAACTTGCAAGGGCTAATAACATTTAGATAAGATTTGTTTTAAAAAAAATCTTAAGACTATATTTAGAAATTATGCATAGAATTTCCATGGAAATTTAACATATAAATACATGAATTATTTTCAATTCCATGTATATATTTTCCAGCTTTACCAACTTAAGCCTTAAAGCAACAGCATGGCATTTTTATTCATTTTCTTCGTAAAGAGCATTGCCCATGTCTGTAAGCATATCTCCCTTCCACCTAGCTCACATCTTTAAAATCTTATTTTTAGAAGTAGCTATGCTGTAGAACAGTGTGGTGCTTACCCCCTCTTCCACTGGGCATCAGTATGTTTATATGCTCTAAAAGAGAATGAGTCACTTGATGGGTTAAATGCAGAAGAAATGTAATTAATTATGATTGAATAATAATATTATAAGCTATGCATTTCGTGCCATGAAGGATGACAACCCTTAGAGGAATTAGAGTAAAAGGTTCTGCCTTGAAAGAAGAGTGAAATCAGAATAAGGAGAGTTTCAGGCAGATGGCAGTGTTTGTAGTGGGATGCATCCTTGAAGATGGCTCCCCCAGTTGTTTCCCTGAGCTTTCTCACCTGTTTGGCAGCTAAGCAGATGTGAATTACAAGGATATAAAAGAAGGCTTTTAGATGCCACCCACACAAAGTGAATGAATACTAATAATGAACTGGACAGCCTGAGTCCTGTCTTTAATTGAGTGTGTTGCATAGCACCAACATTAACATAACATCTGTATACATATTGACCTGTGTGTTCACATAGACACATGTGTTTCTTAAGGATGCACTTAGCTAGTCTGGTCCAAAGAGCAACAAGTTTAAAGTTTCACTCTGGGTGGTTGGATTGGCACAGGTTCTTCAGCATCCTACTCTGTATTGTTTATTTCTAAAAATCCAGATTTAATTAGATAAAAATGCCACTGTTTGCTGGGCATTGGTGGCGCACGCCTTTAATCCCAGCACTCAGGAGGCAGAGGCAGGCGGATCTCTGTGAGTTCGAGGCCAGCCTGGTCTCCAGAGCGAGTGTCAGGATAGGCTCCAAAGCTACACAGAGAAACGCTGTCTTGAAAAACAAAAAAACAAAAAAAAACAAAACAAAACAATAAACCAAAAAAAAATGCCACTGCTTGTAGGAAATGGTCACATCCTTATTAATTTGGGTGGTTATTGATGCCCTAACTTGATTTTACAGGGATGCTTTGGAAAAACAAATGCCAATACATATATGGCTTTAAATCCAGAGTGGAGCCTACCAGGGCTGGAGATTCAGAACACTGAACCAGTGGCTCAACACAGTGAGCCACTGGCCTGCAGGGGGAATTTAATCCCTTTAGTTACAGTTTTGTAGAGCCTTGGTATGTTCTAAAGGTTAAGGAGGGGAAATATTTTAAATAAAAAGAACATGTGACTATTCCCCATCATCTGCCACTTGGATCAAGTCTTCCACCTAAAAGACTAGTGCACTTGTCAACATACTGGGAAAGCATTTGCAAATTCTTTTTCTATGATATTTGGCTAATGCTGTGTGTCAGTGAAAGGGAACAATTCAGTTCAATAGATAATTATCTCTAACTACATGGTACTGGACATTAGGTGACTGGCATTGAGGATGCCAGGGTACACATGTCATAGCCTCTATTTGATGAGATGTGTAGACCCCAGCCTGTGACATAGCCTTTTTTTAGGTCACGTGAAACAATGTGAAAGTTGTAGAGAGATTTTCACCCTCATATGGATTGCTTCACAATTTTCTTAGTAATTGGGTAGTGGTTGTTTGTTTCTTTTGTTTTGTTTTGTTTTTGTTTTTTGTTTTTTCCCAAACAAATGGGGTCAGGAAACTGGAGACTAGATGCAACTTTCTGATAATATTTTGCCCATTTTAAATGTCTCCATAGAAGGAGCATCTTTTCTTTTGCTTCAGGAAACTAATAAAGCACTGAACGACTTCCCTTTTGCAGTGCTTTTTAAGATGTTGTGTCTGTGTGGCCTGTTTACAGGGAACGGTACCTACTGGCGTTCCAAGCCCGGCTCTGTTCAGAACGAATTGTAAAGATTTGCAAATTTACAAGCATTTATTAGTCAGCTCCTCAGTGGATGGTATATGTTTAAAAATTACCTCGTTTTAATGAGGCCAGGCTCATACTTCATCTCTATGAAGTTTCATTATCCACCACATGTCCACTTTGAAGCTATGACAGTATGACTAAACAAGAGTGACTGGTTCGTACTTTTCTCATGCATAAGGTGACAATAGAAGTATGAGGTTTATATGAATGTGTGTATTTTAAAAATCTAAATTTTAAGGGAATAACTATGTAAAAGCACCAATACTGCAAAACTTCCCTTAACCAAAATGGCAAATAATTTAGGTGCAGTCTGAAACTGATGGCAGCGGAGACCTTACTTTCTGGTTTCCCACAGTGTGCTGATCTGCTTGGTCTCTGGGCAAACTGCTCTGTGGATGCGGTACTGGGGTTCTACTGTCCGAAATGGCATTAAACTTTAAAAGATGCAGATAGGAAGTGGGCATGCAGCACTTGCCCAACGTGTGTCAGACCCTGAGTTCAACCCCTTAAGAAATTATGAGCAAGAAATGAAGAGTTCAGCTTTGACAGCAGCAGTGTCGCTTGGTCTCACCGTGGTGGAAGTACTTTATCATTATAAGGCATTTGGTTTCCATTACAGTCACCTCTCATACTGTAATGATTTCACACCCTATCCAAACTGTTAGCCTTCTTGACTGACATTTGATAAGCTCAGTCTTAGACTTGTTGTAGCATGACACTAGTCTCTATGGGATGACCAGATGGATACAATGTATTTATTGCCACTGGTCCACACACACTGATGCAAAGATTGACCTATGTAATCAAAGCCATTTATGAAGCTCTCACTTGCCAGGTGATTCATTCTCGAGTAACAAAGAATCATCCTTGCAGTGTGTCATTAGCAAATTTGTAGCTTGTTTGGAAGTGAGACTGAGTTGCCTTCCTTTGAAGGACACACAGCAGACCCTGGAAACAGCCTTCTGATGATAATGTATTTTCCTTCTTTATTCGTCCTTCAGCCTCCATCATTGTGTGACTGGCTAACCTCATTATTAATACTTTCTTTATCATTTTACAAGCTTCTGGAAGGAAGTGCATGGTGTCAGCTTGCTCGACAATAACATTGCTTTGCTTGTTCTACTATTCTATGTCAGGGGAGAACTTTGATCGTCAGGCCAGCCTTCGGCGGTCTCTAATTTACACAGACACTCTGGTAAGACGACCGAAGAAAGTCAAAAGGAGAAAGACTATTTCAGGAATCCCTGACATCATTCAGAAGGAGCTAGGTATGGCTCACCAGCGTTGCATTCTGTTGCCCCTCCTTGCTGCTCCAATTTACCGAACTAACCTCATGTGGTGCTGTCAATTCCACACGGTCTGGTGGCCAGCTTCTGGATGAGGTCCTAGGGGAAGTGGTCCCTGTGCACTGGAGCTGCTTTGGGGAAGAGGGATGGAGAAGATTCCATGGAAACTTAGCACCATGGAAGTTAAGAATTCCATCGTCTCCAGGGACCTTGAGAATTGGTTCTATCTATGTTTCAATGTACTTTTTATTTAGATCTTTTATTTAGCTCCTGGGCTTTCATAGATGGAAGCCTCATTCTAAGAATCTACCTTAGGAGAAACACTGGCTATTACTTCAACAATACTGATGGCATGTTGTCCTAAGAGGTGGCAGTCTAAGGTTATTTAATGGTAAATGTCAATGCTACAGGAAGTGGCCATGAGGCTGCTGAAATGGCTTAGCAGGTAAAGGCACCTGCTGTCAAGGCTAATGACCTGAGTTTGGTCCCTGGGACTCACGCAGTAGAAGGAGAGAATCAACTCCTAAAAGTTGTGCTCCAACTAACACTTGTGTGATGTGGCCCACATGGCACGTGCACACATGTAATAAATACATGTAACAATAGTGTAAAATATGTTCTATATGTTTGGCAATATCTCCATTTAAGGCAAACAATTTCACAGCTTCTTTTGTTAAATTTAAAAACAAATAAGGCTAGTGGAGTTGCTAGCTCACTGTCTACTTGCCCATTGTGTTCATACTCATTTTTTCATATGCTATGATAATGCTCTCATGTGCCTCCTGTAATCATTTCCTCCTCTCGTGTTTCAATGGGAGCCAGCAGGAGAACCAGCAGGAATAGCTTAGCACACTAAACACATCACTCCACCTTTTCTAGTCCCCTTCTCCATTCTCTACATGGGATGGTGACCTTAATAGAATCTACCTCATAGGGTTGTTTGAGGAACAAATGAATTTATATATACCATGAACTTGGTCTCTGCTACACTGTAATAGTCACTGTTACTATTGTGGGACATAATGTTACTGTCTTAAAATTCACTTCTTTGTCAGCCTGTGGACTTATTTCATAACAGTTACTTTAGCATGGTGTTTCAATTTACTTTTATTTACCATTGAAGGTAACACTCGAAAAATGCAAGAGTCATTATCTCTGAAATTGCTTACAAGTCTTTGAATCAAAATGAGCTTACCCTAGCAACAGTGATATATTAATTATAAGCCTTGAGGTCCTGTTTTAGCTTCCAAGGCTATAGAGATTGCATGTATTTATTTCCCTCCAGGGTTGATGTTTAAATATGTTGGAGGAGGAAGGACGGATCTACTCTTCCTTAACTGGCATTTTCCCCCTTACCAGCATCCAGTCCTAGAGTGTTTACACCCTCCCTTCCGGACTGTAGAAGCATTGGATAAGAACAGTAGTACTTTGCCTTTGGTGCACATAGCTCCAGTGACCTTGTTCCAATGCAAGGCTTTAAAAGCAAAGGCAGGGAGGGTCTTGAGAAATGACTCAGGTTAAGGGAGTGTACTGCTTTTATAGGGGACCAGAATTTGGTTCCTACTCACACCTCAAGGACTATAACTGCCTGGGATTCCACAGCTCTGACGTCTGAGGGCACCTGCACGCTCATGCATATACCCCTGTAAATATGCATGAATGCTCCCACACACTAAAAATAAAGGGGACAAACAAAGAACAACAACAAACAAAACCGCAAAGGCAGAACCAGGCATGGTGGTTCACTCCTGTAGTCCCAGCACTTGGAAGTTGGAAGCAGATGAATTGCCATTGGAGATTCAGCACTTGCCAGGCTGAAGCAAACTTGCCATGGACTACAAAGTAAGCCCCTGTCTCAAAAGAAAAAAAAAAAATCAACACACAACAATAACAAAACAAAACAAACAACCACAAAACAAAAGCGACTGAATTGCACCGATAGAATTTCTCCAGTCTGTCTTTGTTTCAGGCACTGGACAGATTCTAAGAGCTCCCTGATCTGTCGGTAATCGTGCACTAGTGCCGTGGCTTAGTTGTAGCTCATTCTTTCAAGCCGTTTCCCATCTTGAGGTTATAGTTCATACATGTGAGAAAATAACCACTGTTCATATGCACAGCAGTTGCTTGATTGGCCCAACCCTTGTGGTACCCAGGCTTCTGATGAACCGGAGAAGATGGCCTTCAAAGGAGCAGCCAGAAAACTGGGCAGTTGGGCTCTTTGTAAGCCACCAAGGTTGCTTTTCCAACCGAAATAGTAGGTTCTAGATGACTTTGTACAGAGAGTAAGAAGAGTTTGTCCCAGATAATGATACACATCCACACAAGTATTGTACACGAGTTGTTCTCCGATGTCTGCTGTATGAAACCTAAAACCTGAGAATGTATGTATGGATGTGGAACACGTGTATGTCTGGTGTCTGTGGAGGTCAGAAGGGAGTATCCAATCCCCTGGGACTAGTTTTTAGAGGGTTGTTAGCTGCCATGTAGGTGCTGGGAATCGAACCCAGGCACTGTGTAAGATCAACAGGTACACTTACCTGCTGAGTGGACTCTGCAGCCTGAGAACTAGGACCTTTAATCACTTGCATTATTGAACCAACCAGGAAGAGCCAATAAGGGAGTTGCTTATTTGATCTTCTGAAATGATCCTATCCATCAAGGTCAATTGCATGTTCTACAACTGACCTTGATATTTTGAATCGATGAAGCTTTCCTTTCTCTTTTGCTTGGGACATGGGATCACCACTAGTGATCACTTTGCTAATATTACTTATTCTGTTACCTTTGCCACATAGGAGGGGCAAATGGTATCATTGTTGTATGGTCAGAGATGTACCTGGGGGCACTGTGTTTAAGAGCAGGTGGCTCAGGTCTGTGATCCCACCTACTCAGGAGATCCAAGGCAGGAGAATAACAAGTTCAGTGTCTACTGGGACTACAGGATGGCTTCAGAGTCAGCTTAGGTAGCTTAGTGAGACTGTCTCAAAGTTAAAAATACAAAAAATAAAAATAAAAATAAAAAGGGGGGGCTCAGGGGCTCAGTGGCACTTCCTAGCATGCACAAGGCCCTGGGCTCAATCTGCAGTACTGGGGCAAAAAATCAAAACAAATAAACCAGAGGACAACTGGGGCTAGTGTTGTAGCTCAGACGGTAGAGTGTTTGCTCAGTACGCACGAAGCCCTGGGTTTGATCATCGCCTCTCCCTAGGAGAGATGTGATGATACACACCTATAATCCCAGCATTGAGGAGATGAGGCAGGGCCATCAAAAGCCCAGGGTCATGCTCAGCAGCACAGACAGTTTGGGCCAAGTCTGGGCTACAATGGTAGGAAACTCTTTAAAAAGAAGCAATTAGATAACAACTCTTTTCTAATTTTTTAGTTCTTAAACATTTTTTCATACAATGTATACTGATCTTAGTCTTACCCTTCCACAAATTCCTCCTAGAACTTCCTTTTCTCTCCACCCACCTAACTTCATGTTCTTTCTCAAAACAAAACAAAATGCACATGTGTGCACTCACACACTTATGCACTCACAGCTACAGCCAACATGGAATCCGTTTTGTATTGGCCAATGGCTCCTGAGCCAGAGTGTAGTTACTCTATTAAAAAGATTGTTTTCCCTCTCCCAACAAGTATCAGCTGGTTAGGGTAGGAGCCTGTGTCCAATTTCCCCTTCCAGGGCTGGGATCCTATCTGCCTTGGACCTGGGTAGGCCTTGTATGTGCTGCCATAGTCTCTGTGGGTTCCTGTGTGCATCAATCCTGTTCTGTCTAGAAGACATTGATTCCTTGGAGGCATCCACCACCTCTGGTTCTCATAATCCTCCCACTTCCTTTTCTGAATAGATTCCTGAGTCTTGAGAGAAGGATTTGATGAAAAAAAAAAATCCCACTTAGGACTGAGTCTTCCAAAGTCTCTCACTCTCTATGCATTTTCCAGTTGTGGTCTCTGTGTCATTTCCCATGTACTGACAGAATTGTCTCTGATACAGGTTGAGCAAGGTTCTCATCTATGGGTATAGCAGTACGTCATTAGGAGTCAAGTTTTTGCTGTGTTCCTTTTGCAGAATAATAGCAGTAGGCTTTCTTGGCCACTTCAGCAGTGCCAGGAGTGGGTTCCATCTCCATAAGTGGGCCTTAAATTGAATCAGAAAGTGGTTGGTTACTCTCATAACATGTGTACACTACGATATCATACAGGCAGATTGCTAACGTAGCTGGAAGAGTTCATAGCTGCGTGAGACTGGTGATTGCTTTTCTCCTTTGGTGGCATGGATAGTACTTTGCAGCACTGTGAACATTGTTCAGTAAGGGTGAAGATTCAAGTTGGGCACCAGCTCAATTTCTTCAGGTTTGATAACTTAAGTATGTTGTATCCTCAGCAATAGGGTCTTACCATCAGGCTGTAGAAGGTAAGCAATAGCATTGGCAATAGCCTGTGATGTTTGGCTAGGATGGAAGGTCTGTGGGACTCCTTTGGCCAATGTCTCAAAAAGATAACCAATTTCTGGTACTAGGGATTCTAATTGGTAGTATATGATGTCTGGTTGGGCCATTCTGTCCCCTATTTTATGGTTTCTACATTTAAACTCCTTTATGTCTGTCTGTCTGTCTGTCTGTCAAGCTAAGCTTCTACAGTAGTAAGTTTCCATATGGATTTTATTACATTCTGTTTATAAATATTGACTGGTAGGACTGGGGTATAGGATGAGAAGTAACATTTGAATAAGATTCTACTTATATATTTTATTTATTTATTTATTTATTTATTTATTTATTTATTTATTTGATTTTTTGAGACAGGGTTTCTTTGTGTAGCTGTGTAGACTAGCCTAGCCTCGAACTCACAGAGATCTGCCTGCCTCTGCCTCCTCAGTGCTGGGATTAAAGGCGTGTGCTACCACTGCCTGGCCTACTTATATATTTTAAATTCAAATAAACTCCATGAGCTTGGGTGGCACCTGAGTCACTGACCTT